AAAACGTAAGGCCAATAAATCTCAGGGGGTAACCATGATCTCGTCGAACCCTATATGCCGTCCTGCATAGTGAGCCCAGAATTAGGACACATCTTTCGAGAGAGATAAAACATACCTATTGATCGTACAGGATGATGCGGTGGCGGCTGTTGCGAAGTCTCTATCTGTTTATCAGTATCATTTTGGTACCTATAATTAGAATGCAACTGGCATGATTGTGTTAGCTAGCAGATAGTGAAAACATTGAATTACGTACCCTAAAGTCCGTTCGGAAGTCTCCTCAGCATATCTTAACTCCAGGTTACGTCTCCTAAAACATAGTCATCAACCAATAATAACTGGGATGAAGCGACTTGGATAGTGTGTTCGTCATCAGCTGACAGACCCAAAAGTCAGTATTGGATGAACTCACTAATGGTCAACGATGGAAAGTGGTAGATAACGAATCCTAGAGCGAGTTCAACATTATTTTAACAGTCTCTACACAATTGATAACATTACCGTACGGTGGATTCGTTCAAAGAGAGAGAATGAATGGCCTTGAGGCCGTAAAGAGAGGATGAGTGGTAGTGGCACGATACTAAGCTGCAATGTGTCGTCTGACGCTCATATTTGTTCAAAACAGCGGAGTTCGTTCTGAATGGCGTAGCGAGAGTTAGCAACAATAGCGACCTGTTATTTTCCGTAGACATTTTGTAGCCTGTGTAGTTCTACGGAAATATTAGGCGCCTTTACCCGTTTTCCTGATGTACTCAAGCCTTATTGTACAAATCACTGCTATCTGGCTACTCCCTAGGTGATCGCCATGGTACCCTGAATATTATCGAAAATATTAAGTACGAAATCGAGGCATGGACAGGTGAAATCCCGAAAACAGCCCGCATCTGGAAATCAGTATGAGATAGAGCTATCAGTCGCAATATCAGGAATTTCCTATGGCGATGCCTCCGATGGGTACATGGTGGCAAAATATATCTGGCAGTGAAGGCAATGCAGTATGCTCGGAATGTAACAACATCGAAACGATGGACCACATGCTTACCGAATGCTCATCCTCCGGGCAAGCCGTGGTCTGACAGCTAGCCAAACAAACGTGGCTTCAGAGTGGGGAACCTTGGCCTGGTGTAACACTAGGAACTATACTAAGCAGCGGCCTCGCCGCCTATAAAACCGAACACGGAAAACCTGACACTGGAAAATGTTGCTTGTTCAACATCCTGGTGTCGGAGTCTGCATATCTAATATGGAAAATTAGATGTGAATTCAGAATACAGTGGGGAAGCCTCCCTGACAAGAAGATCACTGACCACGAGATTCGAAACCGATGGATAAACCAATTAAGCTCCAAGATCCATATGGACATCATGTGCACTGATGAAAGGCGCTACAGGAAGAAAGCTACGGCACTCTCTCATCCAGAGAACGTGGGGTCGATTGCTAAAAACAGACAAGATTCGTGGTCTTAGTCCAGAGGACGTTACCGGGTTTTTAGTGGGTATTGAAGATTGGCGGCCGCTTTAGACAGAAGCCAACCTCTGAGTCCCACACTACTGATGAAAAATCAGTGTGCATAAAAGCATTTTCCCGGCTTGGAGAAAACAGACCAACACCACACCTATGTCCCTAAGCAATACTTTATTAAAACCCCTATGCAATCCCTTATTCTCGACAAAACCCGCTGGCGCCAGCCAGTCACCACAGCTAAGACCTGGAAGGGCGGCCATGCTACTTGTTCCTGGCTCGCAATGCTCCATAAAAATAAAACATAAAAAAGAGTCAGGAGCAGATGTGCTTAATGCTGAGAGCTAAAACGCCTTGGACATCGACTATATTCTCTATACAGTTTAAGGTATGTGTTTCTGTATGTGTTATTTGAAATAATTAAGCTAAAGTACAGCTCACCGTTCAGGTTATTACCCAGTAATGACTCTCTTCAGCCAGAGGGGGCTGGGCCATCTCGTCCTCATTTACATCCATCCAGCCCCCATGTCGCCTTTAATATATTAAGATCTACTCCATTTGAATCTCCATACTCAACCTCACAACCAGTTAATAATTCCATCGGATTATCGGGTGGCATCCGCCGTAGTGCGTTCACGTCAGCTTCACGGAGGTCCCATATCAGTAATGTACACCGCATATGACGATAATATGGAAGAATATGAGGAAGAT